CCCCGCCACATTGCAGTACACCCCTCACACGTTTCGTTCCCCCAAAGGAAGCTCCACCGAGGGCCCCATAGGTAGGGTTCGCATAGCGCCTCGGATTCTTTTCGGCACACCCTCGCGTCCTCATAGGGAGCTCCACCGACGGACCCAGCAGCAGGGCACATTGTCGTCGTTTTCCGGTTTCCGATTTGAGTCGTCACAGTGCGCGCGCGCGAATGGCGGGATCAGAGTGGTCTTCGATTGTGCGGTCCTGGTTCTATTCACAGCGCGTACAGAAATGCTTGGGCTCTCCGCCAGGCATAATTCATTTGTTTTTCGTTTTTATTCTGGTCGTCGACGTTGGTCGGCGTTGCCGTCGGCGTCGGCAACCGCGTGGGCGTCGGTGTTGCCGTCGGCGTCGATGACGGCGTCTTCGATGACGTCGGGAAGGCTACGTCGTTGTCGTCGATGTCGTTGTTGCCGTCGGCGTATGCGACGGCGTCGTCGACTGCGGCGAGACGGCGGCGGCGCCGCTGCTCACTCCTCCTTTAGAGCAGGCGACGGGTCGAGGAGGAGCTGCTGGCGGCCACTGGTCAGGAGGCCGCGCCGCTGGCGGGCAACGACAGGTCCGCCGCCGCCTCCGCCCGTCGTCGTCGTCGTCGTGGTCGTCGTCGTCGTCGTCGTCGTGGTCGGCTTTTGTCGCCGGTTACCTTCAGCGTCGTCCTCGTCGGTGTCTTCGCCGCCGCTGGGGGAGGCCGCGATGGATGACGATGATGACGATTATGACGACGATGATGACAACGACGATGATGGTGATGCTGATGATGACGATGGTGCTGGTGGTGGCGGTGATGGTGACGATGACGATGACGATGATGATGATGTTCATTATGAGGATCACGACACTGATGATAATGGTGACCTTGATGACGAAGGTGACAAGGGTGACGATGATGATGAAGGTGATGGTGATGACGATGATGATGGTGAGGATGATGATGGTGATGACGATGATGAGGATGATGATGATGCTGGCGATGATGATGCTGATGATGATGATGATGATACTGACGGTGTTCATTATGATGATGATTATGATAACGACGATGACGATGACGACGATGAGGATGAAACTGCTGATGCTGATGATGATGATGATGAGGCTGCTGATGCTGATGATGCTTCTTATGGGCTGATGATGATTATGATGATGTTCGTTACGATGCTTATGCCGATGACGACGACGTCGACGACGATAATTCTGCTGCCGATGATAATGATGATGATGATGATGATGATGATGATCATGATGATGATGATGATGATGATGCAACTGATGATGATATTGATGGTAATGGCGATGATCGTGATGATGACGATGATGCTGATGACGATGATGATGACGATGATGATGATGATGACGATGGTGCTGCTGATGATAATGATGATGCTGATCATGACCATGATCATGACGATGATGATGATGATGATGATGATGATGGTGATGATGATGATGGAGATGATGGAGATGATGATGATGATGATGATGATGATGATGATGATGGTGATGATGATGATGATGATGACAGTGATGATGACGGTGATGGTGATGGTGATTGTGATGATGATGATGATGCTGCTGCTGACGATGATGCTGATGATGCTGATGATGATGATGCTGATGGTGACGACGATGACGATGATGATGATGATGATGCTAATGACGATGGTGATGATGCTGATGATAATGACGATGATGATGATGCTGAAGATGATGATGCTGATGACGCTGACGGTGATGATGCTGATGATAATGCTGATGGTGATGCTGATGATGATGATGCTGATGCTTATGATGACGATGCTGATCATGCTGATGATGATGATGATGATGATGATGATGATGATGATGATAATGATGATGATGATGATGATTATTATGATGACGATTATGCTGCTGATGATGCCCTCGGTGATGCTGATGTTGTTGATGATGATGTTACTGATGATGATGTGATGATGATGATGATGATGATGATGATGATGATGATGATGATGATGATGATTATGCCGCTGATGATGATGATGATGATGATGATGATGATGATGATGCTGATGATGATGATGATGATGACGATGCGGATGCCGCTGACGATGATGCCGCTGATGATGCTGACTAAGCTGCTGATGCTAATGATGCGGATGATGCTGCCGCTGCTGATGCTGCTGCTTTTGCTGCTGATGTTGCTACTGATGATTATGATGCTGCTGACGATGATGCTGATGATGCTGCTTATGATGATAATGATGGCGATGGTGATTGTGCTGATGCTGACGATGATGCTGATGCATGATGATGGTGATTCTGATGCTGCTGCTGCTGTTCTTGTTGTTGTTGATGTTGATGATGCTGACGATGACGACGATGCTGATGCTTGTGATGATGATGATGATGATGATGATGCTGATGCTGCTGATGATGTTGATGATGCTAATGATGATGATGATGATGCTGCTGATGCTGATGATGCTGCTGGTATATAATGATCTCGATGATGGCTATGATGATGCTGCTGATGATTATGCTAATGCTGATGGTGATACTTATGATGGTGATGCTGATGCTGCTGCCGATGATGATGATGATGATGATGATGATGATGATGATGATGATGATGCTGATGATGATGCCGTCGACGATGCTGATGCTCATGATGATTACTTTGATGGCGATGCTGCTGCTGATGGTGCTTATGTTGATGATGATGCTGATGATGATGATTCTGATGGTGGCGATGAGGATGCGGATTATGCTGACGATGATGCTGCTGATGATGATGCTGCTGATGATTGTGGTGATGCTGATGCTGATGATGAGGATGATGATGATGCGGCTGATGATGATGCCGATGATGACTTGTGATGAAGAAAACCAATATGAACATGATGCTGATGCTGATGATGATGACGATGATGATGATGATGCTGATGATGCTGATGACGATGCTGTTGTTGATGATGATGATGCTGCTGATGATGATTATCAAGATACTGCGGCTGCTGCAGATGATGATGATGCTGATGATGCTTATGATGATGCTGATGATGATGATGCTGATGCTGATGCTGATGCTGATGCTGATGATGATGATGATGATGATGATGATGATGATGATGATGATGATGATGATGATGATGATGATGATGATGATGATGATGATGATGATGATGATGATGAGAGGAGGAGGAGGAGGAGAAAGGAGGAGTGGAACATACGGATGAGGAGGAAGAGGAGGAGGAGGCGTAGGAGGAGGAGGAAGGAGGAGGGGAGGGGAGGAAGAGGAGGAGGGAGGAGGACGAGAGAAGGAGCAGGAGGAGGGAGGAGGAGGGGTGAGGAGGGGAGGAGGAGGAAGGAGGAGGAGGGGAGGAGGAGGAGGCTGAGCGAGGGAGGAGGAGGAGGGAGGAGGAGGAGGAGTGGATGAGGAGGAGGAGGGGAGGAGTGAGGAGGAAAGGAGGAGGCGGAAGGAGGAGGAGGAGGAGAGGAGAGGAGGAGGAGGAGGAGGAGGAGGAGGAGGAGGAGGAGGAGGGGGAGTACAAGGTGGACACCGTGGAGGATGAAACGAGTCGGAGGAGGAGGAGGAGGAGTGGGAGGAGGAGGGGAATGAGGAGGAGGACGGAGGAGGAGGAAAGAGGAGGATGAGGAGGAGTTGGAGCAGCGGGCGGAGGAGGAGGATACGGCGGAGGAGGAGGACCAGGAGCAGACGGCGGAGGAGGAGGAGCAGGAGGAGGAGGATGAGGACGAGGATGATGATGCTGATGATGCTGATGATGCTGCTGATGATGATGCTGATGAGGATGTTGATTATGATGGTGATGCTGATGATTATGATGATGCTGCTGATGAGGCTGACGATGATGATGCTGATGATGCTGATGCTGCTGATGATAATGCTGATGATTATTATGCTGATGATGATGTTGACGATGATGATGATGATGCCGACGTTGATGCTGATGATGATGATGATTTGCCTGATGATGCTGCTGATGCTGATGCTGATGATGATGCTGGTGATGGTGATGCTGATGATGATGATGATGATGATGCTGATGATGATGATGATGATGATGATGATGATGAACATGCTGCTGATGATGATGATTATGATGATGATGCTGATGATGATGCTGATGCTGATGATGATGATGCTGATGATGATGCTGATGATGCTGATGATGATGATGCTGATGATGATGGCGATGCTGATGATGATGATGATGATGATGATTATGCTGATGGTGATGATGATGATGATGGTGCTGATGATGATGATGATGATGCTGATGATGATGAGGATGTGGATGAGGATGATGATGATGATGCTGATGCTGATGATGATGATGATGATGATGATGATGGTGCTGGTGCTGATGGTGATGATGCTGATCTGATGATGATGATGCTGCTGATGATGATGATGATGATGATGGTGATGATGATGATGATGATGATGATGATGATGATGATGACGATGACGATGATGATGCTGATGATTATGAGGATGACGATGATGATGATGATGATGATGATGATGATGATGATGATGATGCTGATGCTGAGGCTGAGGCTGATGCTGATGCTGATGATAATGATGATGATGCTGATGCTGATGCTGATGCTGATGATGATGATTCTGACGCTGATGCTGATGATGATGCTGATGCTGATGATGATGCTGATGATGATGCTGATGATGATGGTGCTTATGTTGATGATGATGCTGATGATGGTGATGATGATGCTGATGATGATGACGATGCTGATGATGATGATGATGAGGATTATGAATGATGATGATGTGATGATGATGATTATGATGAATTATGATGAGATGATGATTATCTGCTGCTGCTGCTGATGATGATGATGATATGATGATGCACTGATAGATGATGATGAATGATGATGTGAGAGATGCTGATTATGATTATGATTGATGATGATGATGCTGAGGATGAGGATGAGGATGAAGGATGAGGATAGGATAGGATGTTGGTAGAGGATGAGGATGAGATGAGGATGAGAATGAGTATGAGGATGAGGAGGAGGAGGGGAGGAGGAGGAGGAGGATGCGGAGGTGGATCTAGGACAGAGGAATGAGGATTACAGGGTGGAAGCCGTGGAGGATGAACGTGCGCAAGTGATGATTGGGAGGGTTAGTGGAAGGAGAGGCTGAGGCTGATGGTGATGAGGGGGAGGATCGTAGGATAAGGAGGATAGGAGAAGGGAGAAGGGGAGGAAGAGGAGAGGAGGAGGCGTCAGGAGGAGAGGAGGAGGAGGAGACGAGGACGAGAGGAGGAGGAGAGGAACGGGAAGAGGAGGAGGAGGTAGGAGGAGGGGCTAGGAGGAGGTAGTATGAGGAGGAAGGGGAGGAGGAGGCGGGGAGGGGAGGAGGAGTAGAAGGAGGAGGAAAGGAGGAGGAGGGGGAGGAGGATCTGCGCCAGGCTGGCGCTCGGGAGGCTGCTGGCCTGCGCAATCGCGTGGATCTGGTCCGACCACGACCCGCTGCGCGCCGGGTCGCAGAGGCCGCGGGTCAGAAGAGAAGCAGGGGTGGTGTTCCCGCAGGAGGTTCCCACGGAGGTCCTCCCTGCCTCTTCCTTCGCCGTCTCCCTCCTCCCTCCTCCCTCCTCCCTCGTCCTCCTCCCTCCTCATTCCTCTTCCCTCCTCCCTCATTCCCCTCTTCCATCCGCCTCCCTCCTCCTCCTCCTTTTCTCGCCTCCTCCCTCCTCGCGCCTCCTCCCTCGTCCTCCTCTCGCCTCCTCCCCTCCCTTTCTTTCGGAGCGCTCGGACGTGTAGATGCGTGCTCCCTCCTCCCCCTCGGAGCTACGGCCCTTCCCGCCTGCCCTTTGGAGGGCCGCACCTCGGTGCGGGACTGGCGGTCTCGTCGCTCGTCTCACCTCGTCTCGTCCCTCTCCCTCCCTCCCCTGCTCCTCCTCCTTCCCTTCTCCTTTCCTCCTCCTTTTCTCCTCCTGCTCCTCCTCCGTTCTCCTTCTCCTGGTGGTCTCAGGCCTTCGGGATGGGGGCTTCCTCCAGAGGAACCAAGCGTGAGCCAGAAGCTTCCAGCTGCCATACGTATGTATATATATATATATATATATACATATATATATATATATATTTAAAATAGGCGCTGGCTCAATCTGGGATTGTCCTGCTTAGCCTGCCTTCATCCCGATTGCTGGCTTAATCCGGCTCAATCCTGGGCTCCACCTGGGCTACTCTGGCTTGCTGGCTCTGTAGTCGGGCTTCATCGCCCCTAACCGTTGGCACGAATACCTGCCAGGAGTTGCCTCCCAAGGTGCACCCTCCAGACCCGACAGTTCTCAGGCATCTTCCAGACCCCAAAAAGGAAGTCCAAGGCTCACAGCGAGCCTCGAGCACATGGCAGCGGAAGGGGGAAGGAGAGGACACAGAGAGGGGAGGCTGCGAGAGGTGGGGAAACCTGCTGTTCTACCGAACGGCTAAATGTTCCTGGTTTGTCTTCGTCCTGCCACTATCTGAGCGAGGATTTGGCTCGACGGGGTGCAGATGCTGGACGCGCTGACCGCGAGGGGCGTGCCGATCTCGCGCTGGAGCACGGCGTACGCGATGGCCGTGCTGCGCCTCCTGTGGAAGGCGGTGGCGAGGACGGCGGCGGCGATCGCAGCTTCACCCGTGGTCTCAGAGGACCCGAGTCCCCGAGAGCCCGGCGTCTTAATTTTTTCGAGCCAGGCATTTTCGCTTTTCTTCGGGCCCTGGGACCCTCACGACTCACAGATCGATCCGGTTCGAACACTGACGCAGAAAGATTGGGTCTGGGGCTCAGGGCGTGGTTTTTTACGATGTTGCATTTTTTCCCTACGCCGGATCTCAGGGAAGGTACCAACACCGCTGCCCTTGCCTCGTTTCTCGTCTTGGGGCCTCCTGGGAGACCCTCGTTGCCACGGCTGGAGTCGCCTCAAGCGTCTGGTCGGAGCGCAGCCCAGGAGAGATCTGGGGTGTAGCGGTACACATAGTACAGGCCTCGGAAGAAGAACACTCATACCGCATTCATCTGTCAATGCCCCCCCCCCCCCAAGGATCAATATTGGCGGTGGGTTCAGCGAGCTGCACTTCGACCGCAGTCTTCCCCTCGCGTGCCAACTTTGAGTTTGGGGGGGCGGGGGATGCCCACTCATTTTACGTCGGGCATGTTCCTCTACAGGAGGAATATTCAAAAGTAGTACAAAAATAGTCCGGGGACTCTTTTTGATTATTTTTGCATATTTATGGAATGTTTTTCATCTTTCGTGAAAAAACGGCCTGTAGGGGGACACGCCCGACCTCGCACTACTTCTCTCCCTTCACCGTATCTGGCGGCGCACCCACGGGGGTAACAAGAGTGTGGCGGCCTTCTTGCGAAGGCGGGGGGGGGGTGTCTCAGGGGGCCCGCTGCCTCTCGGGAGCCCTCGCTGCTGCTGGCAAGCCTCCTTGTAGAGACCTCCAGGCTTGAGTCGGGCCTGTCCCTCCACAGGAGGAATCCTCAAACATGGACTTAAAAATATGCGGAGGACGATTCTTCTACGGGAAGCTTTTTGAGCCTTTTTGGACGCCTTCCACTTGTTCCTTCTGAAGCCCGCCTGCAGGAGGACGTGCCCGACCTGACTCCAGGCCCTCCCGAGAGGGCCCCCGCCCTCGGAGAGCGCCCCCCCCGCATCCTCGGAAGGCCGCCCCTCTCGCTCCACCCCCCTGCTGCGCGCCGCCAGCGCGCAGGCGGGTCTCCCCCCTGGGAGAGCGCTTCCTTGAGAGGCAGGTGCGCCCTCGAACGGGCAGCGCCAGTACTCAGGCGATCTCCAGCACCGCTCAGGGGGGCGTGGATTAGCGACGGGCCCCGTTTTCGTGGGAAATCGCGGATCTCCGCCGCCTGGCGAGGCGGCACCGGCCGCACTTTGGGGAGGGCATCTCCCCCGATCCATGGATTTGGCGACCGCGCGCCAAATCCATTGATCGCTGATCCATGTTTGCGTGCCCCCGAATTACAGAGTAGCCCAGTCTTCCCTCATCGAGCAAGCGTCTGCTCAGCGGACCGCGCAGCCGGTTCTAGCTCACCACGCTTCGGCGCGGCAGGCCAGTCGTGTCCCAGTCCCCAAGCATCAGCGCTCCGAGCTTTTCCCAGCCCCTCGCCCCAAGAAGCGGAACAACTCGCTTTCAGTCTGCAAGGCATGTGCCGCAGGAGGCGCCGCGACACGAGGACCAGCGATTCCTTGCCGTGGCCCTGCTGCTACCTCAAGATCTGGATGCCCAGAGGGATGTGGCAAGAGGCCTGGCCCGCGCGTGCCACGAAACCAGTGGGATTTTGCGAGGGTGCCCTGGGTTTCTTGGATTTCGATGGGCCTCCAATAAGATCTGGACGATGTTCGATCGACTAATTTGGGTTTTCACCGAACACATCGCGGAATTCAGGGTTGGGTTTCTTGCGAAGGCTTCTTGTGGCCGAGCCCCCACTGTAGATGAAACATCGATCGTATCACGACGGCGGCCGCGACGACGACGGCGGTGGCAACGATCACGACGCCTGCCCTCCGGAGACCTCCGGGGGCCTCGAGGAACCTCCAGGGACCTCTGGAGGCTTTTTGGGGGGCTCCCCGAGGAAGGTGGCAGGCGGCGACAACGACGGCGGGGGTGGTGGAGAGGGAGGTCCGCCCTCACCCCTTCTTCACCTTTCCCTGCCCCCTGCCTTCTCCTTATCCTTCCTCCCCATCCCTCCCCCGTCCTCGTCGTCGTCGTCGTCGGCGTCGTCGTCGTCGCCGTCGTCGTCGTGGTCCTCGTGGCCGCCGCCACCGTCGGCGTCGTCCTCCTCGCCGGGGTGCCACGGGGGGCCTCCAACAGGCGGGCGAGTCGGCGCGCGAGATCCGCAGCGAGTCGCTGGCGGGGGTGGCGAACGCTGCTGCGGCGGCAGTGGGGCTGAATGTCGTGGCGGCGACGGCGGAGGACACCGACGCCGCCGAAAATATGGGGGGGGACGCGGCGGAGGGGGATGGGTGGTTTTGAGCATCAACAGCTGCCACCAGCAAGACTGGGCTGCAAGCTTAAGCTCGAGATCTGGATCCGTGTCTGAAGATTTCTCACTCGAGACCAGTGACCACCTCTGGATCAACCCGGATCGTACAGCTGTACTTCGGATCCGTGTGTTCCACATGGATTTCCTCTGAGGGCTCTTCCTCAAAATGCATTGGCTTGAGTGGCTAGACTCCTTGAGCGAGCCTACCCTGTAGTAAGCAGCGCAGAGGGTGCAAATGTGGAGCAGCAGACTTCCCTTCCATTACTGTACGGAAGACCGACAGCGAAATGCCCCAGGCGCTCCATCTCTCCGAAATCCTAGCCCCCAGAATTCCATGGACAACCAGGGAGGGGCGGGCGGGATTGCGACCGAGAGGCCAGGGGGATTGGGGAGGGGGGGTTGGGGAGAGGAGGAGGAGGAGGAGGAGGAGGAGGGGTAGGGACGGGGAGGAGGGGAGGGAGGGGCATAGGAGGCGGAATTCGGTTGGGGGGGAAAAGAAGGGAGAAATGGTGGGGGGTGGGAGCGGGGCTTGGTGGGCTGAAGCGACGGGGTAGAAAAGGATACAGAAGGGGGGCCAGAAAGGTGAGGAGGGGAGGGCCAGAAGGGGGAGGAGGGGAGGGGGAGGTGCATGGAGAGGACGAGAGAGGATTCCAACGGGAGGAATAGGGATGGGAGGGGTGGGGAAGGAAGGTCGGGATGGGGTGGGGGATGATGTTGAGGTTAAGGAGGAGGATGAGGATGAGGATGAGGAGGAAGAGGACAACGAGGATGTCGATGTCGATGATGCTGTTGCTGATGATGATGGTGGTGGTGATGATTACGATGCGGGTGATGATGTTGCAGTGGTTGTTATGGTTGTTGTTGTTATTGTTGTTGATGATGATCTTGGTCTTGATCCTTATCAGTGTGATGTTGGTGATGCGGATGTTGTTGATACGGGTGATATGGTGGTGCTGGTGCTGCTGTTATTGTTGCCGTTGCGGTTGCTCATATTCGATGACTGTCACGTGAATGAAGGTATGTGTGATTGTGTTTTCGATGATCATCAAGACGACGGCAATGGTGATACTGCTAGTGGCGTTGGTGCTAATGGCGATGCTGGTGGTATTGCTGGCAATGCTGATGCCGACGCGAGTGCTGATGGCGATGGTGGCGGTAATGGTGTGTGCTGGCCGATGGCTTGATGTTGTATAGGGGGGGACTGTTTAGGATGCGCCTACATTTGATACGACGATGACGACTACGCCATGGGCGACGATTGTGGTCATGACAATGATGATGTTGAGGATGACGATGCTCTGGATGAACACGATGGGGAGGGGAGCCCGAGTGTTGTGATGAGAGTGGGTCATACTGCTGGCGACAGCGGCAACGAGGATGCTGCTGATAACGACTATTATGATGTTGTTGCTGATCTTGTTGATGCGAGTGATGACGCTGTTGCTGCAGACGATTCTGATGATGATGATGATGATGACGCTGATGATGATGCTGATGCAGATGCGGATGTTGATGATGGGATGCTGGTGCTCATGCTGATGTTATTACTATTGGTCATGATGGTAACGATGATCATAGTGACGATGATGATAAGGTTGCTGCTGCTGCTGATGATGATGATGGCACTGATTGAGCTTATCATGATGATGATGCGGCTGAGGCTGATTATGTAGTTGATGATGTCGATGCTGCTGCTGATGAATCTGATGACGATGGTGGTGGTGGTGCCGATGGTGATGAGCATGCTACTGATACTGTTAATGGTGATGCTGTCGTTGCAGTCATTGTTGTTGCTGCGGCTGCTGATGCTGTTGATGCTAATGACGATGCTGTTGGTGGTGGCGGTGGTGGTGATGGTGTGGATGGTGCTTTTGACTCCGATGATGCTGACGATGGTGATGATGATGATGATGCGGTTGCTGACGCTGCTAATGAAGATACGGTTGATGATGATACTGCTGTTGATGATGATGTTCATGATTGCGGCGACGATGCTGACATCTATGATTATGCTGATTTCGATGCTGATGACTAGGCTGTTGCTGATTATGATGATGGTGATGCTGCTGATGATGATACTGTTGATGATGCTGATCATGATGCTTATGCTGATGATGATGCTGACGATGCTAATGAAGATAGCGTTGATGCTGATGCTGTTGATGATGCTCATGAGGCTGATGATGTTCATGCTTGTGGCGACGATGGTGATGCTTATGATGATGGTGATCACCATGCTGATGATGATGTTGTTGCTGATTTTCGATGACGGTGATGATGCTGCTGATTGTGCTGCTGGAGATGATACTGTTGTCGTTGATGATGATGATGAAGATGTTGATCATGCTGATGATAATGCTGCTGCTGATGATGATGATTCTGATGCTGATGATGCTGCTGATGACGATGATGATACTGCAGATGACCATGCTGATTATGATGATACTGATGCTGCTGATGTTGATGATGTTGATTCTGATGAAGCTGCAGCTGATTAGGATGACGATGATGATGCTGATGATGGTGTTGATGACGTGATGCTGATGATGATGATGATGCTCATGATGCTGATGTCGATGCTGATGCTGATGCTGATGCTGATGATGCTGCTGATGCTGATGATGCTGATGACGATGATGATGATGCTGATGATGAGCGAGCGAGCGGCCACGGCGTTACGTGAAGGTGTGCCAGATAATCAATTCTCATGCTGGAGGCCGGCTGTGCACGGGCTCTGGGCGGAAATTGCACTGCGTGCAGCACGTCTCTGTTGCACTGCGTGCTGATGATGATGATGATGCTGATTATGACGATGATGCCTGTGTTGTGCTGCTGCTGCTGCTCATGAAGAGGAGGATGGCGAGGATGCATAGTGATAATACTAATAATAATAATAATGCTAACCAAACTATTATTACGAGTAATAGCAATACTAGTGCTACGGATAATACGAAGAAGAGTAATGCTAAGACGACCAATCGTAACACTACAATGAGTAACAGTAACAAACGTATGATCATGAAGAATAAGAACACGTATGCTAATACAAATTATGATACCAATAATAAGAATACTAAGCGGGATCCGACAACTAGTACGAATACTGAGAAGGAACATTATTATGCTAATAACCATAGGAAGAACCTACTAAGACGAAACATACTACTGTTAACACTAACAAGAAAAGCATACGCACAATCATGGTAAAACGAAGAAGAGGAGGAGGAGGCGGCGACGCGACAGGACATCGACGCCGCCGAGGAACACGTCTTGCACGCCCTGGACTTTGGGAACCAAACCGGGCGCACCTCGATACCCCATTTCTCTTGAGAGGGAGGGAGGAAGGATTGGAAAGGGAGGGTGATGGTGGCCTTGTTTGCTCGACCCGACTCGCCCGTGAGGTCCCGCCTGCCCGATCCCGAATCGGGCTATCTCGTCATGCACGGTGCTATCATGCTCCAACCGCTCGATGGGTGTTCCGCCCGCTGGGTTTGGCCCGCCCAATTCCAACCTGGTCGTTCGGGAGCTTGCGTGCCGATGAGATGACGCATCGTACTGTAGTCGATGTCTGGCCGGCTCGATTCTCGATTTGCCCGTTCGGGAGCGCCCAGAGGGTCCTCGGCCGTCGGCTTCTGGCTTCCGACCAAATGTGCTGGAAAGGGACGGAGAAAGGTGAGGAGGAGGAGGAGGAGGAGGAGGAGGAGGAGGAGGAGGAGGAGGGAGTGGGCGGAGGAAGATGAGGGAGGGAGGGTCGGGGGGGAGAGAGGGTGTGATCTTCGTCGTCGACACCGAATCCGAGCTGTCAACATCGCGGGAGGGGACGCCAGGAAGCTTTGGAAGACCGGGCTTCCGCAGGCCCTCTTTTTACGGCACCGAGGTGGTTGGCACGGACCCTCCAGGAGAAGCAGAGCCCTAAAGTCTGGCAGTGCTAGGAGACCCCACCCGGAGAGCAGGACTGGGACCTGCACTGACATGGGCGACTGTGATCTGGAGAGCTGCGACGAGACCCAGCCACCCCCGAGAGTTACTTGAACTGAAGAGCCTGGCCGAACCTATATCGAGTGCCCCTCCCTCC